GTTGCATCCTGTAAGACAAGCCCACCGGAGTTGCACTTCGTAATGGAAAACAATCCCAAGGCGTACGTGTTGTCATTTTGGGGGATATAACGGAAATGATGTTGCAAAAATGATACCAATCAGTCACCTCCTTTTATAGAGTTCATTTTGAAATTAGGTCGTGAACAGCCAATAGAAAGTCTCGTAACAAATATTACTTACCATGTGATGCTAAGTGGAAACACGTATATTAAACGGAGACGTTTAAAAAGTAAAAGACTCTTCAGTGTGCATAGACTGTGGTTGAACGGAACCTCGTCCAGAGGGGAGGCCGTCGGCTTAGTCCGAGCATTTGACTAACATGGGACTTCGCAGTATCGAACAGATGTGGGTGTTTCTACTGGCATACTCATGTAAGTAGAGAAAGACAATCTTACAAGCCACGCATTGCTAGAGCAGAATATAGTACAGAAGATGACTGGTTAAATGTTGGATGGTCGAAAGATTGGTACTTACAAACACATTTCATATTCAATTTCTTTTGTATTGATTTCTTGTGTCGAACTAATTGTTTGAAATATGTTTACGTTAACCAGTGTTGAGATTAATTGTTATAACTTTAGTAAGAAGTTACCTATGGGTTAGGTGGGGATAGGTACCTTTCCTTCCTACGGCCATGACACGCTACTGTAATTTATTTTAGAATCTACTAGGTCATGAAACACGTGTACCAACAACGTGGCTACAATGTGAAATAAATTAGCTTTTGATCTGAAGGTAATAATTAGGCATAAATGAACCACTGGAGCTGGACGACTGTCCTATGCAAAGTACAAAGAATCCGTCGAAATCCTAGCCTCTTTGTAGCATTTCGTGACGTGACATCATTTTTACGGGCCGCCGTACAATTCTAATTGTGGAAGACCACTCATCGTCGACTGTTAGCGACTGCCTATTCTATATATTGGCCGCCACCCTTCAGTTCTGGAAGCCGTCATCTTGATGATTTAACATGTTAGGCCTTTCTGTTGTGTTTGTGCGCCGCGGCTTCGGTCCCTCGTTCTTTCGCGATCGACGTTGATCAGGAGCACGAGGTGACCGTATTTGCCCGCCTGTCTCGGTAGGTACGTAGTGCTACACCGAGTCTACTTCGACTGCACTTTTCGCAAATTTTAAAGCTGATCGTTAGCCTTGTATTCAACTACCCCGAAAGCTTTAAGTCAGGAAAGCCAACGTCATCCCAATAAACACCGACATTAATGTTTGAGTGTTTAATTAATAATTAATTATACATGTTTAATATCATTCTTACGTGTTTTTATTCCCATGGGTCCTTAATTCGCGGATCGCGGTTTTACCGTGAGCGGAGATTTAAGAACGTCCCCCCCCGCGAACGGCGTGGATGTTCTGTATTATCAAAAGCAGAGCTAATTCGTGACACTTAACGTTTTTGGAGAGAACTGTTCCAGTTGATTACGTAGAGTTTTAAGATTGTTGCAAGCGTTCTTTGTGACTTTGCATTCCTCGTTCTTCAGTTTAATTTGCTACGGATACCAGCCTGATATGTTATTCACAGAACCACTACCACACAGATTGTATTCTTGGGTAACTTTGACAATATTTCGCTGTACAATACCGAAAGTCGCACTCGTCTGTCTATCTCTCCAGCTTTCTACTCGGATGGTGCCGGGTTTAAATCTCGGTCCGGTGGTCGGGTATCCTGTCCGAGGATTTACGCAGTTCCCTCAGTCATTGAGGGCAAATTCCGGGATAATCCCTTAGAAAATTAGGCTATTACCTACTACGTGTTTAAAAAGGAGTGCGATAAGTTCAGCATTTGTTTAGACTGCCTATCATCTTAGCTGGGGTTAGTTATAGGCTATAATTGGAACTCTTGACAGCTCCGTTATATAAAACAAATAAAAATATACTGCATAAATTATCCTGCCTTGTATGAGATTTAAGGTTCTCACAGCGGAGAAAATATCGTCTAGGTTCAAACCCCGTGCAAACTTGCAGATGGATAACCAATGTTTTGGAGAAACATATTGTCTCGATCTGCAAGGCTATTCTCCTAAATGTTGGTATACAGCTATAAATCTACACGAAATTACAATGGAGAAGACCAACATCAGTATTCTTGTATTTCGAAAGATAAATCTTTCAATATAAGATCCTGAGAAACTTTGAAAGCAAATCTGTAGGTACAGATCTGTATGTATTTTATTACATGTAGGTCTAAACTTATATACTTTTATAAATTAGGAGTTTTTAGAAAGTAAGTTCTTTAGCGACACTGTTTCGAATGCAGAATTTTTCAAGTGGCGTCAGATTACACGACAAGGTGATCAAAAATAGTGGAGAGCTAAGGATTTGGAAGGTGCCGTCGCCTGTTCCCCCATTCACAAAGTGATTCTGGATCCAAAATTATGACACAACCATATGACCAGGATTAAAACCGAGGTTAGCTTGTAGAACAGACAAATATTAAATTCATTATGTTTTGTGAAGAATTTCCATACCTCATTTAGTCGAAGTTCTGTGAAATGTGTGGTAGCTAGAAATGCATACTTCATTATTATATACATCTTACATCAATTTATGCGCTGAGTGCGAAGAACATGCGAAAAGAATATTTTTGAAAAAAAAAATAGTGTCCCAGCAACGACTTGTAATTTCCCCCCAAATACACAGCAAATTGTAGAAATCTGAGGGCAGAATTAACAGCCGTGGTCCGAACTGAGCCAATTTGACCGTGGGCATGAAAGTCTGCCCCCAACTGCACAGACAAATAAGCTTTGAACCCAGGAGCTACCAGTATGGTAATGACGAACAGTTGAAGATCATGGTGCGAGGGGGTAATCTCATTGCACGAATATCGACCTTTGTTACAGCTAAAGGGAAGGGAATTTTGCAGAATCACCCCCTATCCCAATTTTACCCTCACCATCCACAAGATGAGTAAACATTTAACACGAAAAAAAGTTCAGCGTGTAGACTGAAGTGTGAACTATATGGAAAGCAAATTTGCTTGCAGCTTCGGAGGATCAAAGGGACAGGAAGAATGGAAAAAGATTACATAGCAGGGCGAGAATTAGTACACCCTGCCCCACCTTCCCCCACCATAACAACATGCAAATAGCAACGTACACTCTTCTGTCTATTATTTCTTTCTATTTCCATTCGAAAGGGAAAATTACCACACGGTATAAAAGAAAGAAAGAAATCCTATTTGCCCCCTTCGCTGACCTAAGGGGTTGGTTGTCTTTAAAAAGTGGAAATAAATATATAAAATATAAAAACTGCTTTGGAAGGTCTGTCCTGTAGTGTAAAATTTTCTTTTGGCGTGTTGCTAGTATTTAAAATTCCGGGCATTACTGAACCATTCGGTGGCCTACGACGCAAAACGCGTAAGTACAGTCACGTTCAGCCTATTCTAAAAATCAGACGGCATTGCAGATGACTGTGTTCAGTAGCACTGATTTTTTCATGATGGGAGGTGAATTGTCGACTTCCTCTGCCCTGATGATGGAGGCAGCAAGTGCATCTAAAGCGTCGGCAAACTTCTTAACAGTCTACGCGGTCCGTCTTCCCAGAGAACAGTCATCTTCAAAAGCAGATCCAGTTTCCGAGTAATAGCCATGTTTCATGTTAATGTTTTTCCTCTGGTTTCCATGTTTATTTCTCTGTAATAAAGGGACTTAATTAACTTAAACAAACGCAAGAGTTCTCTTTGCCCGTAGTTTTTTATTTTTATTTTGTGTAGAGTAAACCTGGTAAATATTTATAGTCGCATGTTGGTAGGAATTAACTTTCAAAATCTTTATATCTGGTTGCACTCCTTAACCTGACATCACAAAAAAAGCACTTACACTAGAATTAGAGCAGCTGAAAGCTAAAACATAACGAATTGATTGTCATTTTCATATTTTTTGAGCGCTGTCATGCGGGTCAGTGCTGTACTACTGGCTGAGGATTGCGCTCGTATTAACGAGACGCTACGCTACATCCACATAATTGCCAATGTAATGAACTTGTCGCGTGTGTCCCCGACTCTAATCCCATTTATCGATGCACCAAATCCCTTTACATACATCTGCCAGCCAACTGTGAGCCCGCAGTGGCGTGCCTACCGTTTACAGAGGCGTGCATTTTGTTTCAACGCGAGTTCCTTCCTTCTGAATGGACGTCACGATCGAGTGGTTAGCATTCCGACGTATTTCGGAGGTCATCGCTTCAAATCTCGGCCCAGACACCGTCTATGTTAACTATGATTTTTGGACGTATTTTTCATGAGTGTCCTCAGGAAAAGCCCTGCTGGGAACTAACCGACAAAATTTAGGAGAGTTCTTTAAAAGCTTAATATTATCCGAATAATTGAAGAATTTCCCGAGTTTTATGGGAACCCTAAGTTTTATTACCGTGTTCACAAGAACCTACCAATGTATTATGTGCTGAGTCCAGTCCACACGCTGTGATTTGATATTTTATTTTTTTAAGACCCAATTAATAAATTTCTTCCTGTCCACACTTCCGACCATATTTTTCTGTTTGTCGTCAGACGTATGCATTCTACGTTTCCCGCCCATTATATGTGATCAAGCTAATACGAAGTTATTCAATTCACAGTATTGGTTATGAATTATGTCTTAATTGTTTCCATCTGTCTCCTATTTTATCTTTCAAACGCGGATATTTGCATAGAATACTTTAAAATAAGCAACGACAGCTTTAATAAAACCTTCTCAGGCGACAAGCCTCTTCAAAATGGAGCCGTAGTCTAACGTTTCAAGGAATGAATCATTCCTTGATGATGGACACAGAAAATGCCTCTTAAACGTTGGACACGGCTTGTCGCCTGAGAAGGTTTTTTTTTGCAGTTAGTCGCCGCAAAAGCCTCAAGTCATGTAATATTTTCCAATTCATCATTCACTGTCATCCTATGTACCGAAATTTTATAAGCATTTCATTTGAAACAGCTCGTTAAGTGACCCCAAAATTAACAAATTTCTATTACTCAGTTTTCCAGTATTTTTTCGCTTTGCTGAGTTATCTACATGGCGTCGTCATTCAACTGTGAACACGGAGCGGTGTAATTAGCTAATTTTTGCACTGGCCGGCAACTTTCCTTCAACTTTGATTCATCTCCTGTCTCGCAGCTCAGAAATGGCAATCACTTTCCACGACTATTTTTCAAGACCAGCTTCCTTGTACTGGACTGAAATAAGTACAAGTGTTTTTAAATCTACAAATTCATTTACATCAATTCTTCTCTTGAGGGTAAAGACGGTCGAAGACTGAAAGTGACAACTGACTTCCATATAAACTAGAGCCTAGGTTAGGGATGAATGGATCTGTACAGGTTAGCTCAACGATAATATATCTGGTGTGGTTCTTTAGTAATAATTTAAAAAAACAAAAACATTTGAATCTGGACTGACATTTCTGTTATTTTCTTTAGACACTGAAACTTATTGCGACTGTTTCATTACTAAACCTTAACAATTCACTGTTAATTATCACCTTCTCATTTTATTTTAAGCTCCAGTTATTACAGCATTACAAATCGAATCCTTCAGACGCTGTTTAAGAAATATCTCGCGTAAAAGGACCTGCCTTGTCAGAAGAACTTCGGTAAAAGAATTGTGTCCTGCTATCATACGACTCTTCAACGGTGTAATCTGTAATCTTATGGATGTTGTCTTGTATTAAAGGAAGGTTATTTAGTTTTGTGAGAATCCGCATGGAAATGGTTATATAAACGAAAATATTTTCATGTGTAATTGTACTAATCTTGACTCTCCTAGTACGTCTTAATGTAGAGAAATCTCTGTTGCTAAGGACAAATTTAATCTCTATGTACCATACGTGTTAAAATAACAAAACGATATCACGTAACGGGCAGTTGCATTCAGCAGCCTCGTGACGTGTTCAGCTGGTCAGATTAATTGATGTCAAACCCCTTTCGCCCTTCATAAAACTACCAATCATGCTGTGGTATCATTGTCCGATTTGTAAAAGGATTCCAAAGATAAAGAACAACAGCTTGTGATCAAGACGCGGCTGATTCTGTTGCACCAATAACGAGCGATCGTATCCAACAACAATACTCGTAATGAGTGAGGCCATTCAAAAATGGCGCCGACTCGGATCCTGCCCCCTGGTGGGAGTTTGACGCTCCATTGCAGTGATATATGGTATGGTTTGGATTAGTTGACTCACGGTCTTCGCCCTTCTTTTTATTTAATAGGAATAATCAGTGACTATTCACTGTTGTCTCATCATCTATCAACAACTTCGGAAAAAATTTGTAACACCTATTTTTATTCCGGTTAGAGTAACAGAAATTACAAATTAATGACAGAAGATGACTGTCTTCTCGGTTGTTGTGCCATGTGGTCTTGTAGACGTTTATCGACGTTTCGCAGGTTCTTACTGCCTCCATCATCACGGCTGAAGCCCTGAAGTTGGGGAAGCTTGTTTCTCCTAAACGTTGTGTAAACGACATCAGGTTTCATTTACAGCTGTAAGATTTTTATCGTTATAAAATAAAAGAATGTACTAAAATACTTTGCGTAAAATTTGCGTAAAATTGTAGTTTCCAATTTTGTGTCTACGCTGTTTTATTCTAAACTGCAAACAACAAATCGATTAGTCCAGAATCAAATAATCATGTAGAAAAGAATAATTATCCTAAGCCTACGCCTTCAACAAATTTGGTGGAAGGTATTGCACGTGTCTGTCACTTCGTACTTGGCCAAGACTCACACTGACCAGGGGGGGAAAATGTCGAAGGAATAAAATAATTATTTTTAAAGGGCCTGTTCCTTAACATATGACAACTTAAATTGAATATTTAAATATACAGCATGTCGCAAAAAGATGTACAAACATTTAACGAATCAAATTGATAACATTTTATACATCAGCATTAACATTTGGTAAATTAACGAATCTGGTGTAGGTGTTTAAAATGACCACCGTCAGCTTCGTAGCTCAGTTGACGGCGGTGAGCAATTGATTTAAAATGGCCACACAAAATTGACGCTGCGTGTGTATACGTATTTTGAGACAACCTGTGTATATGACATATATTTATCTTATAAACAGTGCGGCAAAGAGGAAACAAGGTGAAGAAGATATTTATTTTCATTCGCTCCTTCAAGGAAACTGGCTTCATAATACAGCACACAGAGTGATTTTCACAAGAATTTTTTATTCCAGAATGTACGTTCGAGAAGAAATGGAACATGATTAAAATGTTTGTTCTCGCATGCGATCTTTTTCTTCGTAGCAAAAGTTTCTCCCTTTACATAGCTCATCGTATCGTGTCGAGTCTGCAAGTTCCCTGAAAGCCTCCCGCTACATTGTAATTGACGAGGGGT